CATTAGAGTTTCGTCAGTAATACAGTGCCAGGCTACAAATGCAACCATAAAGACAAATAAAGATACTCCGGTTACAACTGTATATCTGAGAGACTTGTCATATGTGAAAACTCGATGGACGACAGTAGATGTGGCGATCAACATGGAGGTGTCGTCGACTAAGATTTATTAGTATAAACATCCATATGGAAAGGTATCAGGTTAAGATTATAGAGGATTGAATTTGCTTGACAAGGGAAAAGAGAGATAGGTTACACATACACCATTGTGTCCAGTCTTTATTAGTTGCGTGGAACAGAGCACTGAGGATGCCTACTGCTGCGAGTCCGAGATAGGGAAGATTCCGCAAGATGGCATCTTGACGGTTGGAATTCGCGCGGATACCTTTGTAGGCGTAGTAAACTATGTATCGTTGAAGTATCAGCACTCGATCGGTTGATGTAAAACTGAATCTCGTGATTAAACACGTGGGAAGATATGATGGCGGAATACGAGAAACGGGACGAGAAGAGGGAAGAATATACGGTATGTGATATTCGTGAGTGTATTTATAAACTCGGCGATGTATGTAGTTATGATATGATCCTGATTTCCATCAGTTGCCTGGTACATGATTTATTTCATCATGAAATAGAGAATCTCTATACCTCTTCGCAGAAACTGTTCGATATTAGTATGGTGAACGAGAGAAAATGGTAGTAGGAAGATATACTTACTTTGTTTGCGAGTTGATCGTGCCCCAGTATGGAGGAAGGGGTTCCTTTCTATATGGTATTGACGGTATAGAAAACATTTTGTACTGGATGATCGTCGTTGATCAAAAGAAATGTATGTGTTGAATGCAAGTTGTAGTCCAACAAAAATCGCCGTCCTTTTGAAATCCAAGAGAACCGTATCTTGTGAATGAAGGCCAGGATACAAACGTAAGATTACCTTGTAATAAGTGAATAGGTAAATCTTCTTCCACCAACTTCGAAAGATATTCCAGAGAAATCAAATCAATATATGCTCAAACTCCAAAACAACAAAACTGTTTTTCTATACTGTAGTAAGTGCTGTAGTAAGTGTATGTAATGTATACCTGATCTATACGAGATATCTCATCATCCTTATTATGCTCACATCCACATTTCAAAATCTGGTTTCTGGTAAGTTGGCTGTACATATGTACTCTTTTGAGGAAAAGAAAATCGCACGGGAACAGGTGGAGTAGTTTGAGCGTCATTCTCAATATGCACCAAAGGATATTGCCTGAATGCGAGTCACTATTGATTGATTGGTACGTATATATTGTCATGTTTTTATAGCAGGGGTTTGGGTGATATTGCTATATGCATTTGCATTTATGTGTTCATGCACACACGTCTTGCTGTGGACTGGATTACCTTGTGATATTTATATATTATATATTGTGTGTGAAAATGATGCTGTAAAAGATAGAAAGTTGTTACATGATAGATAGGTACATTTGGTAAAGAATGAAGATATACTTTACGTTGCCATCTCGAACAAAACCATAGTAGACCGACTCATCAACCCCTTCATCACTCCAAAAGACAAATATGAAATACTCGTAGACATCGGCAAATCCATCTCCAAATGTTCCGACTTCCCAACCAATCACGGCACACTCCATCTCGCTGACCCCATATCTTATCCTCTAACCTCGGTTCAATTCCTCCCAAAGCCATCGAACCAATACTAATATTACGACCTCTCCCAAAATCCGGGGAAATGCCCTCCTCTTCTTTCTCCCTCCCCAACATCGGAACTGCCAATCTCTCTGCTATCATCGCCACATCTTCCCTCTACATTTACTTAATCGCATTACATCAACACCAGCAGAAAACATTACTAGCAGACCAGGAACGCGAACAAGAACGCGTGCGGTTATCTCAATCCCAATCACAATCTCAGAAACAGAAACAGAAAATCCAAACACAACCTCCGAATTCACGAGGAGGATACACCGATTCACAAAGTTCGAGTGGAAGTAGAACGAGAAGGTATTCTGAGAATCAATCGCAAATCGGAAATCGAGATCAGAGACAATATTCCAGTTCCAATCCCCTTCCCAATTCAAATACACACACAAATACACATCCTCCGCCCCCATTCAGCAAGATGTCCAAAACCTTTTCTCCCTCGGAAGTCGCCGCTCACAAAGATGCCGAAAATGGCATGTATTTAATTATCGATGAGAATGTCTATGATGTTACCAGTATGTTTTATTTCTCCTTTCATCCCAATTATCCGAAAACCCCCCCTTTTTCTAGTTTTATAATTACTGTTCTCCCTTCAACCCACGGTTAAACTGACCCTTTCCCCAGATTTCCTCGAAGAACATCCGGGCGGTGCGAAGATTCTTAAACGTGTTGCGGGAAAAGATGCTTCAAAACAGTTTTGGAAATATCATAATGAGAATGTGTTGAAGAAGTATGGGGAGAAATTGAAGATTGGTGCGGTGGGGGAGAAGGCTAAGTTATAGATGGATTTTGAGAAGACGGCGGGATTGGAGTTTGGGTATTGGAAGTTTGGGCAAGGGGGAGGAGATGAAGAGTGCAAGCGAATTGTGTGAAGATGAATAATAGGGAGTAGATATCGGATGATTTTATACATGCCCATAAGACGAGATGAGATGGATTGGGATAATAGAGGGTATATAAGAAGAGAAGAGAAGATATTTGCATATATACACCAGATGAGTATTGTTAGAAAGAATGAGTTCAATAGACAATTTTGTTTCACTGACCATGTTGTTATGTCCGCTGGATCATGAAATCTACAGGTCGGTAAGCATGAATAAAAACAACGCCCACGTCAAGTGATGAAAGCAAGTTGAGTTTTGGAAAATTCGTCGCATTGGGTATTCTATCACTACCTAATAAGCATTGCTGACTTTCCAGCATGAAAAGAAAAGTCCTGCAATTATTCATAGTTTTTTCCTTTCCCATCCTTTCATTCCATAGTTATCCATGAATTCCATCCGAAAGCATCGCAATCTCATAATTCATTCTCGCAAAAGTTGTCTTGTATTTCTGTCCTCGTAATTCATCCCCATCACCAAACCACCTAACACATCAATCCTCCCAACATCAAACCCCCACCCAATCCCATCGCCAACGGAAGTCCCGCTCCCCCTCCATATCCCCTCGCATACCCCCTATTATACGGCATCCCCGGTCTTCCATACCCACCCATCCCCATCGCATACGGACTCGGTCCAAACGCACCTCCTCCAGGCATAAACGGATTATACCCATAGCCTCCCGCAGGATACATACCCAATCTGGTAGTTCCCGCACCGGCCATTCCCGACCCAGGATAATACCCTGCAGTGTTTCTCGGGGGTTCAATATACACATCCTTCCCCTGGCGATCTTTGCCCAGAAGTTGTGGTTCGCCTGTCTGAATCGCCTTGCGCATTGCATCCCGAATGGCTTGATGACGTCGATACATGGCAGCTTCTTCTTCTTCTCTCTTTCTACGACGGGCTTCTCGCTCAGGATGCGTGGAACTGGTCAATTTATCTTTCATTTTCCGACCTAGTTTGTGGATTCCAGTGGGATTTTGCTCATTGGGACGAGCGTTCTGAGAACGTGCAGGAAGAGCAGAGTCGTCGTCTGTGCTTTCAGCTTCGAGGTCAGCGTCGCTGGGGACCCGGTGTAGACCTTCGATTCGTTGGCGTTCGTTGGGTGGGAGAGAAGAGAGATATTCGTCGTCGTCGTAGGGATGTCGCCAGATGGAGCGGGGAGGGGTTTGTCGGGTGTCGACGAAGAATTGATGGTTGCTTTCTATGTCGTATTGACGGATCCAGCCGGGAGGAAGAGAGCGTGCTTCGTCTTCCATGGAACGACGGCTTTGGGGAGGAATACCACTTCGGGTTTTGTGGGGGTGGTTGGGAGTGGCACTCTCGGTGTAGGGTGGTGGTGGTTCGGTGGGATTAGACATTGTGATGTGATGTGATGATTGTTTTCTTTAGAGGTAGGTATCTCGAGCACTCTTAATGCTCGTATGTGAAAACTATTGTAGGTATCGTTGAATTTCAATCTGAAAGATTTCAATATTGTAAACCTGTATCGAATTTCCAAAAGATATATGTAGCAGTGGTTCCTCGATTTCGACCTTACCCCAAGCTTGTCTGGGGCAAATGCTCCGAAATGACGTCATTAGAAGCTACTCCTCCTGTGGCTGTTCATTATACACCTATCAAATTTCTTTATCAGTCGCACTTCCCACAAGCATAGCCATTAACGGCGGTTACCTACTAATCAACCTTGGAACCCGTGGACCAGTTCTGTGGATATAATTGTGGCGGTGCAACATAGCCAGAAACAACGAGACAAGAATCGTGATGATAGTTGTGTGCATTTCGTACTACAGTATTATGAAACCGCAATCGCAGCTTCTAGAATAGTACCCCTCACTCAATCTTCTGGATGACCTTATAGGTATCCGAGAACCTACAATCTACTTCAATCAAAGGATTTCTCAAGGGCACGCTGAAGACAACCAGTTGGCGTTATCGGTTCAAAGCAAGAGAGAGTGAGCAGAAAGTTGTACTCACTCATTATGATATCAAGGTGTTTAATTTCCTGTGCATGAGGCTACAATATGATCCAGCTGATGTGGGCTTTATCCTATCGGTTTCTTGTTGGATATGGAAATACTTCTATTTGTATACACCACCACGAATAGGAGCATCTGCAGCTAATCCTTCCAAACAGTATTGAAGAGGACCTAACGTCAGCAAAGCTTGCTCTTATGATGAGCATCCTCAGGAGAAGATAGATTTGACTATATATTATTTCCGAGATACTGATCATTTTATTTAGCACGAAATCGACAAACGATGAAGGCGAAAGATTTCTGACGCCAATCATAACGGCGGGTAAGGTGGGATGAGTTGTCCCGCCTTGTCAATGGAAGAGTAGAATCTCGATCAAGCTGCTTCATAAATCAATACCTGACGTGTTGTCAACTACATCTTGTGTTTCGCTTTACTCGAGACAGATACGCTGTCTTGTAAATTCTTGACTAAAGTAACGCCTATCATTGAATAGAGGCATCATTTCTTTAGCAATTAAGGCACCATCGATGCTGACGTGTTTGCGCACCCAGAAGTCTTCCAACCTCATGCACCCAATTCTTGTGAAGCTTTTGTCGCCTTTTCGTAGAACGATGATGCCGCGAATACTGAAACGTTTCTCTTCACCCGCGCCGATTTCGGTTGTGAAAAGAAGACCAAATGTTTGTTCTCCAACTTCAGGCTCAATACCCAACGTCAAACGAATTACGGCGAATATCCCTGGAGCCTGTTCCTCAAACATGACATGGTGGTGACAGGCTCTGAAATCTAGGTTTAGAAACTCACCAGAATTCGGTAGTTGATTTGCCCCGACGAGCTTGAGTTTGGCTAATGGGCCCGTCACATACAGACAACTTGGTTTTTTGTTCGTAAAAATCAGTCGACTTGTCTGGAATCTCGACAGATATCGGTGCATATGTTAAGTCGGTGGATCCATACGAATTGGTAAAGTAATGATCCTCAAACTCGATACCTCCCTCCCATCCAGACCATGACCAGGTAGGGAAATCTGGTCTTCGTCGTTTGGGTGGTTCTGGATGATACCAATGTAGCAATGGGACGCCATCTACGAAAGGCAATCCCCAGGCGTGACTGGGCAAGCAAACACTGCGCGAAGCCAAGTCTATCACTACCGATACTTCAGGGCATGCTGCTCTCTGTTGCTCATACGCTGCAAAAACACCAAGGAAGGCATCGAGAGAATCTTGGGGGTAGGATAGGTGTCGCCGAGTGTACTCGACAATTCGAAGCTGAAGCGCAGACACTGCCCTCTTGGTTGCAAACAGTGTCTGCAGAATGTTCCAATCCTTCATGAATGCTGCTGCATCCGGGGGAACAAGCTGCTGCAAGGATTCTTCAATATATCTACCCTTACAGTGATATAGCACTCCCCTATCAGTGAAGACAAGACCCCGTGTCGATAACAAAACGCCTTGATACGTCCGACCTCTCTGTATCCAGGTGGACGACCGTGTAAAGTTAAGTATTGACGGGAGCTCTAGTAGGGTGCACACGCCTATTTGAGTCTCCGTTGCTAAACGAGGAATGGTGCTTATCCCAGGTAGCCCACCAGCAGCCGTCTTTCCAGTAGCGGCAATGATGGTTATATAAGCCTTAGCATAAACTTCATCCATGGAAAGAATTAGTCGGTGTTTCTCTGGGTCGTCCTGTCTAATGCACTATATTGATACTTTAGCGTTTCTTGAGCCACAAAGATTTAGTCGGTAACTTACGTATCTGTCGACCCAAATAAACCTCAGACCCAGCTTCAAGGTAACCTCAATAGTGTTCTTGATCACAGCTGGAACCTTGATGCTAGTGGTGTGTGCACATCCCCAAACGTAAGACAAGGCGACGTACTGGTATGGTTTGGGTAGTGGAACGAGCGAAAGAGTCGAAGAGGCAGCCAGACAGTCAATGACGAGAAGTTCAGGCACAAACAGTGGATTTGCGCCAAGTTAGCTCTCATGTTGTTGGCAACACTCTGAGATGGCGTTTCGTATCCAAGTAAAATCCCCAATGAAAGGTGGGATTCTATGTGGTGCGGGGTCTTTTCCGGGAGCAATCAATGCAATGTATAGCTTACCCTGCCTATAGCCATAACCCGACTCAGTTTCATCGTTGAAGCTGTGCCAATTGCCGATTTGTAAAAGTGCAAGACTGCCTTGACTGCATGTCGGGGGTTCAAACAGCACTTCGCTTCCAAGGGTCGTGACTTCAAGGTTGCGGATGTTGGGTTGGTCAACGTACAACTTCTTCGGCTTATCCTCATCTTTGATGATGGAAAGAATCAGGCAAACTCTACATTTTGCAGATTTCAGCTGGTTGTGACTCTTTGTCATGGTCTGAACGAATCGTCCTAAGAATGTAACTTGCTCGTCTTCATCACGTTGTTTACGGGTAAATTCTGGGTCCAGCGGTCGCTCAGCAAGCTCTCTCCAATCCACCCGTCGACATTCTGGACATAGCGAATCATCTTCGAAAGACATCCTTCCAATTCCGGATGCCGTTTGGTGGTTTCTTCTTCACTTTATCTCCTTTACAATTATGTCGAATTTAGTACAGACAAGAGGAGACGACAAATAATCTGATGTACTGATTCTAATAGGTCCTAGACGATATTTCTTCAGGAAGCTAGATGTGTCAAAGTTGAGTCTTTGACATTAGAAGAATGTGGTAAATATTCATGGTGCCTGGAATCTTTCTTCAATGACATTTTTAACTCGGGGGGTGCTTATGTGATAGTGACCAATGAAAGTTTGTACCGAACCTCATGCATGTGTATACGCTGCTAATGATGACGGCGTTTAGATGATTGGTATTGGGTTGAAACTACCTTATTGCTTTGATTGATTGATTGATTTAATTAACGTCCTTTTCTCAGTCCAAAACTATTTAGGATAGCTAGGCTTTAAGAATCTAATAATTACTAATAGATATTTTATAATAGATATATTCAATTTGAAGAAATAAAAACGAATACTAAAATATTATACCCGATCTCTATTCAGAATGCAAATAGAGATTAAATAATCTTTATCCTCTAAAACACTTCCTTCCTCACTTTTCCCTTACCCCTAATCCAATTAAAGCATCCTAATATCCAATTTCTCTTTTTAAAATCCTAAATCCAATTTGCTATCCCTCCCTTTCTATAAAAAACAAGAATTATCCCTTTCCAAATTACCTCCAATATAGCAAAAAGTCCTTTTGCTAATAAAATAGTAAAAAAAAGGCATTATTCTTTTTTATCTTTATCTTTTTTAAATTAACCCCTTATATATCTTTATAAGTTTAATATCTTTCAGTTCTTATTAGATATGTATAATTGAAACTATTGAAAATAATAAGGCAAAGCCGAATCCTAAGCCCTATTGCCCACACACAAATCAATTCAGAAAATTCGAAAATTCGAAAATTAAAAGAAAAATGTTGTATTGTATCGATACCTAAAGTATAATATTAATTTGAAAGTGATAGTATTCTTTATATTATATCATCATAATATTCAAATGGCTAAAAGCCAAAAAGTATAAAAAAGGATTGTAATATGAGTAGAACAGTAGCAAGCTTTATATCAAAAAAAATTCTTTTAAAAAAAAAGATTTATTATGTATCATATTTCTATATTTGAAATAATAATTGATAGTAGATATTGAATTTAACCAGGGCTTTTATAACCTTTATATCCATATTTAAAACTGGTATTCAATTTTTTGTAAGTATTGTTGTTATAAAATCGTAATATAATCCTTCGCTATATCTCTAAACCTTTCTTTTTCTAATTTTTCCAATTCCATTTGCGACTCAATTTTAGCTTTGCAGACTCTCAAAAAAGAGCTGGAGGTTTGTAGAATGCACTGCGTACAGGTGTTGAGTCTTCGCATCCCACCTTATTGCTTTAATCTGGGGTTCAACCCCAAAGTCTTGTTCTGCCTTAACTGAATTCTTTTTTGCTTCATCTAGCAATTGGATGCGTTGAAATCTATTAAAAATTGCGTTATTTGATACTTCGAGAATTCATCATTTTTTTGTTATCTCTACCTAGGTATATATGTATATACGACATTTACATTAAAATACATGGCTATATGGTTTTCTACCAGATGAGATGAGGATTTATCCCGTCATCGTTGAGATTGGAGAAGATGCCACTCATGATATGAGGCTCAGAGATCACGCCAAATAACTGGCATCTTGAATTTGTATATCAGCTATGTAGGAAGACTTGATAGATAGATAGTACAATAATACAATACGTATGTTCTGAATAAATATGAACCGTAGAACCTCTCCCTCTCTCCCACACACACCCATTCCACTACGCTCCCAGAGGACACACATCACACAAGTACTACGAAACCAGTTCCAAGAAACCAATCTTCACACCATACCATCTCCAAAACCCAAACCCAAACCCCAAACACAACTCTTTCCCAAAAGAAAAGAAAAGAAAAGAAAAGAAAAGAAAAGAAAAGAAAAGAAAAGAAAAGAAAAGAAAAGAAAAGAAAAGAAAAGAAAAGAAAAGAAAAGAAAGAAAAACATACCTCATCTTGAAAAGTTCAAAAATAAGACAGACTTGGGATTAAATCCAAAACAGGATCTACGAGCGGAATTCAATGAAATATTTACTCTATGTAGGTAGGTATCTGGTTATTAATTCATATATATTTGTATGTATGTATGTATGTATGTATGGAAATGGAAGTAGGGTTATCTGGGTAGGCTTGGTAATCTATAATCTCTGATCTCCAATATCCAATGTCCAATATCCAATGTCCAATGTCCAATGTCCAATCTCTATCGACCACAACTACGAACACAAGCACGACCACAAGCACGACCACAAGCACGAGCATGACGACTTACAAGCGCACAGAGCACATGAAAAACACGAGAAAAACACAAGAAAACCACGAAAAGAAAGGAGAAAGATATACTCATTTATCATCAATCAAATCAGCCTTACTACTTAGTAACTAGGAGCACTTTTTTTGAGGGAAAGAAGGAGCAGTCAGTAGCAGAAGAAGTAGCAGTCAGTAGCAGAAGAAGTAGTAATAGCAGCAGAAGAAGTAGCAGTATAAACAAGCGAGAAAGAAGATCGAAAAAGATGAAGGAGATAGAGGAGATAGAGGAACTATCCCGTATATAAAGAAAGTACTAGACGTGCGATACTATCAAGGTATACGATTGGATGGGTTGAACTTGAACTTGAATTTTGTCTTGGGGATTGCTTTGATGTTGGGGTGGTGTAGGGAGGGGATGGGGTATAGGGTATAGATTGTGTATACATAGATATACACATATGTATATAGATTTACAGACAAGAAGAGATGAGTATACAGTGCATCGAATCATCAATAGAGAGAGAAAACCAATGGTTCAGAGAGGTGGTAGGTATAACATTGTTCGCTGTGCCAAGGTAGGTAGGTAGGTAGGTAGATAACTATCCAATTACCGGCCTTCCCTCTCCTCCCTCCCCATTCCACACAAAGATGAGTGATTTGGAAACCCCAAACCCATTTATACAACACTTTCTTCCTTCTTCCCTTCCTTCCTTTCCTGCTACCTAGTATCCTAGTCATAATTCGTGCATCCCTCCATCACTCCATCCATTGTTAATCCATAAACACGTAAATCCCGTCAATCAATCAATCAATCAATCAAGCCACGCACCCCTCATCCTCATCGCTACAGTGATGAGAAATGAGAACCCAAAGAAAGGGGAGGGAAATCTATAAAATCCCAAGCAAACAAACAAACAAACAAACAAACGACTTGAGAAGCGCTATACAAATTTGGATTGCATGTCTTATCGCTAATCCAAAAAAGCACATGTGGGATTTCTTCACTCTGCAAAACCCCTTCCAAAAAAATCAGTAGAACCTCCATCCATCCATCCATCCAACCATCCCTATGAAAACGCCAGAATTGAATTGTAAACGGTAAACCAATTTATGCCAGGTCTCCGATTTGCAAAACTCCTATAAGTTCAAGATCATCCATGACCACCAGGATAGTATTCTCAGAGTATGCGCTGCTCTTTTCCGAGCCAGACTTTATATACATCTCCTTTGCAGCAGCGACTTCAGTTTCAGCTGGGATGGTAATCCACTTAGTACTTGGGATCATCAAGCCATTGATAGAAGATGCTTGCAAATTCATATCGGCTTTTCCAAGCTGTTTGATGGAGCGAGGTGGCACGACAATATCGGTGCCACATCTCGCCCATCCGGATTCGGAGCCATACGCTTTGATGAGAAGATCTGCTCCGGTGTTTGGTCCACTGCCTAGATCTGGCATGTCGGCGAGACAAATGGCGATGTCGGATACTTTTTGGGGCGGTTTGCAGGCGGCGCCAATGGCGCCACCGGGATGGTATTTAGAGAAAACGGTGGAGATGTTTCCGTGGATTTCTCGGGCAACGACTAGAGCGAGAGCATCCCCGACGGCGATTGCCATCGTGGTAGATGTGGTTGGGGCAGCACAGCCAAATGATACAGTTTCTGGTTCAAAAGTGGGTGCTGGCAGTAAGATAGTTTTTGGTCGACGTCTAATGATTTCGCAATTGGATCGATGAGTGTGACCGGTCAGGATGATCATGGGGAGAGATGAATCGAGATGAGGAAGTAATTCGAGTAATTCAGGGGTTTTGCCCGAGAAAGATACAAGGAGAATAGTATCATATTTGGTGATTGCTCCAAGATCTCCGTGAACCGCTTCGGTAGCGTGGATAAAAACTGCTTGGATAGCGACACTACGCATTGTCGCGACGAGTTTCTGGGCAATGTAGCCACTCTTTCCTACACCGCAAATGACGAGCTTTCCTCTCTCGCCAATGGATCTTTTGATCGCATCCACAGCATGATTGAATCCATCTCTTGCGACTGGATCGGTGTCATACAGCATGGTTAATGATGATAGTGATGTAGCTTCGGTACTAAGAACATGAACTGCTCCTGATAAACGTTGAATAAAGGGTGGACATCCCTCTTCTATTTCTAGGGGGGTCAATGACATCAGGTCGTCCAGTGGAGGAGGAAGTTCGTCGCATGGTGTACTTGGGGTTGGTGGTGATGGTGGAGCGGAAGCCGGAAGGCAAGTATGAGGTGCAGAATTGAGAAGGTACACCTCGCTATTTTGAACGGGATGATCGTAAGCCATTGTTGGTATGTGATAACAAAAAGTATAAATTCAAATAAATGGTGCGTGATGATATGGTATTAAGCTTCCAGAGCCGATTGATGGTATGTAGACGATGGACAGCTCCGCTGCTTTGAATAAAGGTTCATATGGCTTTAAAAAAATAAAATAAAGCTAACATCCGATATGAGAGGTCTTAATTAAAAATGTTAGCCAGAACAAATAAGGATAGAGACTTCAATAACTTTTTTACCTTTCTAAATTCGTCGGATGGCCTTGATTATATTCTAGAGTGATATCGTGGACGTGAAAGAGTCTAACGGGCTAGAGCGTGGGTAAGAGTGGTGACTAGGATATCTCAGACGATAGCTCCACGTAATGGGAAGTTTCGGTGCTTCAGATAGAACGGAAAGTGAATCGACGTTTACGGATCATTCGGAAAGCATTGTAGAAGGGTGCCATGGGGGGTTTTGAATATAATAAGAGATGAACAAGGTTTGTGTAAGAGATGTTGTGGATAGAATCGATGGGTGGGACGACCGTGAAGGGGAGAAGAGGGGAGAGGGGTGGAATACCTTTATTGATAAACAATTTGCAAGGGGGGACCGCTTAGGTGAGGATGGGAGAGAGCACTGAATACTGAACACTGAGCAGTGGTGCACTTTAGAGGTGGGCCGTGGCTTAAAATTGTCTGGTCTTGATATCGGTATGCTAGGTACTAGGTAGACTAGTTCGTACGGTATATAGTCTGTCTGTCTGTATTTGATAAAGTCGATGGATAAGAATACGATTTCTTCGATCTAATTCGATGACCGAGGGGCTTGAGATTAGTTTTTAAATATGAGAAGGATCTTGCCGTTCCTGTCTAGACGAGCTCTAGCTAGGTATGGAAGCTAGAGAAGAAGAACAGAAGATGAATGGACTACGGATGGCAGGGAAGGGAGGGAGCCAAAAGGAAAGCCGACGATTAGACTTTCTCAAGTAGATACTGCGTACATCATACATGGTAGTAGTAGGTCGTAGTAGTAAGTAGTAGTTGGGAGGTTGGTTAGTAGTACCTATGTGAGTAATAGTTGGATGGCATGTATACTACTACCAAGTAGTTTATCTAGGTGTTGTCGGCATTGTTGTTCTTATTAGGGTAGATCCAAGTCCCAAGTTTTTTGTATTGATCTCATTGGTATCATCGATTGCTGGTCAATTGTAATCTCTAACAAGATATCGTATATCTATCTAGCTTGCACGATAAAGGATTTCTTCCGATTTGAGTCGATTGATTAGTTTCCTTATTTATCGAGAGCATAATCGGATACCGGTAGTCGATTACTAGACAGCTAAGTGCCTAGTCTCCTATGTAGTATAGATAGATCACTTTACGATAGAGACCTTTGATATCGTCGAGAGAGTTTACCTTGGTCGATAGTAGATACAGTATGGAAAAGACTGCCCACCTCACTCACTACTCACTCCCTAGGTACCTAGCTCACGCAATCTCTCTTCTACGTCGTCCCAGCACGCAATTTTTACCCTGGTAAGATGTCACTGCATTCGGACCCTCAAAATTCCGTGATATACCCAGTCCTAAGGATTTCTTTGGTCTCTAGTCTCTCGTTTGAAAATTCCTTTGTCCACTATTTCTATTGTGCCGATGCTCAGGATTCTCCAGTAATTTAAACATGATACCGATGTCTGCGCTGTGATTGGTTCAAATCGCCTCACGTACAGTCACACTATACTCGATGCGATTTGTTATAAAGTCATAGCCTCATAGAGTCCATGATGATTGATTACAAAGGAGAAAAAAGTGGAGGAGAAAATGTTGTGCTTTCGTAGTCCGGGGTTTGTAGCATTTCCGAGGATGATTATGATTGATTGATGATGGAGCGAGCTGCGAGAGTCTACACGAGTACGAAATCTTACATGCAGATGTGGAATGGGGTTACTGTGCTGGTATCAAATCATGTCCAAGTGAGATTGTGATGCCGATTGAGAGAGATAGATCGATCTTTCTACCTCCATACCTACCCTCGAGCTACCTATCTGATAGATAATTGTCTTCATCCAAATTCCGAATAGCTTTCAAATACAAGGAAAATAGCTCGTAAATCTTGTATACGGATCACCTAGTAATAACTTCTTGGCTACATGATATTTCGGGCCCTTGAGTCTTGAGATCCATCATCCTGGAGACATACGCGACTTCTCTTTCCCGCCTCCTGGATTTGTTGATGCTTTTTCTTTACTTCAGACGACAAGAATCGATGTGCTTTGACACGTGCCGATGGTATAAAACCTTCTGGTAATACAACGTGGATAAATGTTTGCGAAATCTGATAACGATGTACAGTGCAGAGTCATGGCACCTATGTGGCAGGTACTAAGACCTCGAGCTAGGTATTATCGAGGCACCTTACCTTTTGGGACTCACATGTTGTTGTCAGCTCAAGGTTGAGAGAGGTGGATGTCGGTTAACGCGTGAATTTGAACTTTGCCGTTGGCTTGAGACTGGAGGTAATATCAATATAGAAATTTTAACCATGATGATGAATCAAAAGCCCATCATGAAATTTCATACAGCATTAGCATTAGCATGAACATTGGCATTGGCATCAACCATCAACTTTTGTGCTTAAAGTTGCCTCCAAGAGATATCGCGAATCCACTTTTGCTTCTTTTTTCTCTTCCAAAGTCCAACAAGGTGTGTCGCAACATGAAATAAATCCCTTATCTTTCCGCAATCACAAAACCATCATCTCCATAATTCCGAAGCAGAGTTCCTCTCTTCTCTCACAAGCCCAATGTTTGAGCTTCTCGTCGTTCAGACTTCATTCGATATGTTGGAACAGAATTTATGGAGTTGAGAAGTTTCGAAATCGCCAAGAGAAGAGATGAGAATGCATTCATTCATTCTTTCATTCATTCACTCACTCACTCCACCACACCATTGCGACATTTAAATTGCAAGTGTACGAGAATGGAATTCTCCATCGATTGAAAGAAGGGTGGGTTGGATGATAAGATCGAGATTGATGACAAGGCAAGATAACAGATCCAAAAATATCCCTGGTGGTGTGTGATGATCACAAGGAATATGAACCCTAGGGACTCAAGTGCCGAGGGAATGTGAGATCACATGATTGTGTTGTCACATGTTTGCTGATCTCGTGATATCCATAACGTGATCTTTGATATCTACTGGGCATCTTTTGATGGCGAATCGACATGTCTGAAAATTCGAGAAGTTGTATATGATGGCAGATCTGGTAGTTCATACAGTAGATGGATGATATGGAGATCTAAGATATCAGATCTAAGATATCTATGCACAAAAAACGAAAACTATATACAAAGCTACCTCCCTACGAATGATGGTTGTTGTGTCTATGGTGTACATCAAAGTTAAGTATCAATTGCGTCTTTAGAAAGCTTCCAAAGTAACATGTATATCAATCGGCTCATAGATGTGAAGATAATAAGATAGAATCTATAGTATCATTCAATCCTTGAAATTTTGGTGTTCCTGATATTTCTGCTCTGAAAGCAGCGACTTGAGTGACTGCAGAAGGAGAATTGACGTCGTTTGCAACTTCTCATCTATCACGTTCAATTCAATTCATTATTCTTCCGATGATTACACAAACCACGAAAAGTCCTTACTTATTTCAATCTTCTCTTGTGTTCAAGAAAATACGTCCCATCAATCTTCATCGTTCAACAGATTAGTATTACGTATACTCCAGGGCTTTACAACATCTGTCAGGTATGTCTTAGATTCTTGTCCAGATACCTCCATTTCCTCATTCCTCCCCCGCCTTTTCCCTGTGTGAAAGATAGACCCGTCAACTGTGTTGTCGCGAATCATCTAGACATTCAATCTTAAGTTCCACAATCAAACTGCCATAATCTCTGCATCTTTACAATGCCTTGGTCTGTCTGCACACACGAATACTGATCTCTGGAGCATCTCCCTTCAGAAGCTCTTCGCCTTCAAAGATATACCATGAATTGACGACTTGAAGCAGATCATTTGACCAAACAGTTACTCTTTACTCACGAAAATTGATCAGTGTCTACGAGACCATTCTTCAACGTGAGTGAAACTCTCGCAGATACCCCTGAAGCTTGAATGTTTCTACTAATCCTTATACAGCACTCCATTAATTTCAACCCAAAAGCATTGAATCAGTGAGTAGTACCTTTCTCCTTCCATCTGATGGGAGCGCTTGCGGCACGACGGCCACTACACCGAGTCTACGTAATCCATCCAAATACACCAGAATTCTGAATATCCAATTGGGAATCAAATTGGCAGTGTTGACATCTCGCTTGAAACGTCTCTTCAAAGTGAAGATTTGATTTGAACTTTCAATCATTGGATCCCGAGCTCTTGACTAATCCCTTACAGTAACCGATCAAAATGGCAACTATCCAAATCCGCGAAGCTACACAACAACTTGTTAAGAGACAGAACTGGGCAGCCCGTGAGCCTGGTGTCATTGTTGTCTTCGCCATAGTCTTCATCGTCGCATCAGGACTTATCGGTCTTCAAATATCTCGATGGATCTCTCGCCATAGAGAAAGACAAGCAGCAAAGCGTTCCGCTGTCTGATCAAGGCATTCATATCAATAAGAAAAGAACCATAAAGCATGTGGATCTCGTCATCTCAAGGGGTGGGGTATAGAATGTCGATCTCAAACTTCATTGTAATAATATGTATCTTTAGGGGACTTGGGAGCCAACGCTTAATTGGCATGATCCCATTGTGTTGCTTTGTTGCTACAGGTGCGTTGATTTATCGATCCGGTTCGATAATTCAGACATGAGGTCCAAATACTTACTCTAAGCAATGGACATCATGTAACATCACGTTTTTCCCAAGTCTGATACGTTTTGATATGGGATTTGTGAACGTTTAAAGAGAACCTCTATGTCGATAAAGGTTACTTCTGTTTACTTAGTTTCGAGAACATTCAATCTTACCAAATAGTTTACTTACGGGAAGTCGAAAAATCTTGTTTGTCGTTATAATAAAAGCCAAGAAATATGGGGCGAAGGTCCCTCCGATTGTTTTGATGGTGTCAACTACTGAAGATCAACACAAGAATAAGTGAGGAGCTGCATGAATATATTTGAACCCCTTTCTTCAGTAGGAGCAAAAGGGAATTCATTTGTAAAGCTATTGATCTTCATTCAGAGCTGCTAGATTATCATCTCGTGTGACATTCTATCTCAGCTAGGATTATACTATATTCCAAATCATTCATGACGATGTCCCAAGACTTTTCTAGCATCAAGGGCACACCAATGCCTAACGGTCTCTCTAGTGAAGGCAGTTAGCTGTCAAACTTTGGTGATCATTTACCTGCAAACTGGTTAGTCGCACCGAGTGGTGAACATCATGGTGGTGCTACTTGTGTTCAATTTCTCGGCCCGCAGATCGCAATTAGTACAACACATTTGATATGCGGTGCCTATATTACTACCGACGGCCTCTAACGGTTTCCGACTTCTTCTCCTTTTCCCTTGATCACTATTTATTCACTGAGTTAATTTTTAATTATAATCATGCTTAAACTCTCTGTTGCTGTCGTCGCAGCTAGCTTGGGCTTCATTGAAGCGAAGTCTTGCAATGATATCTCTATTCCAATTTCCATCAATGCTCGAAATGGCATTTTCAATATTCCACCTCTTTCTGATGCCATTGCCGTAACAAAGTTCGCGCAAGATTTCCTAAGAGCTGGGCAAAATTACAGTGCATCTACATTATCAGGATTCACCACGGTAAGTGACCAATACAATATTGCTGCGACTGTTTGTATACCAAGCGAGTCAAGTAGCAACTCTGATTCATGGCAACTTCTTACTCATGGAATTGGATTCGACAGATCGTGAGTACAATGCTACACTTCCAAATGTACCTACTGATTTTGGATATAGGTATTGGGATTTGCCATTCAACAACTACAACTATTCATACGTGGATGTTGCTGTTGATCAGTATGGATATAGCACTTTAGCTATTGATCGACTTGGAATAGGTGAATCCTCAAAAGCTGACCCAACATCAGTCATTCAAGCACCTGCCGAGCTTTCAGCAATTGTAGAAGTGACGAAATTACTACGTGCAGGCAACTTGCCAGGCGTCGAGATCTCAGAGCCAAACAAGATTGTCCACGTCGGCCATTCTTTTGGTTCAATCTTATCATATGAACTCGCTTCAGCATACCCAAATATCACAGATGGACTTATTCTCCAAGGATTCTCCCTTGACGGTTCTGCCCTTCCCCAGACAATTGCAGGATTCAACATCCAATCCGCATCCGTGAATCAACCTTACAAATTCGGCGCTCCTTCCATCATCTCTCTCTTCGGTTCCGCAATCTCGCAACTGGCAAGCACCTTTAGCAAAATAGGCTGTTTCTACACCGCCGGCTCAAACAAAGATACCGGGAACATCTACGCCCAAGATCTCGCCGATGGCTATCTCACCTGGGCGAATCTCGGCGCGAACCAATTCAATTTCCTCGCCCCTCCCTACTACGATCCGGACATCGCAGAATATACGGAGAAACATAAGGAGCCCTTTACGACGGGAGAACTCCTCACGTTGGCGGCGCAACCGGCTTCGGCGCCGGAGTTTGAGGGACCGGTGCTCGTGCTGGCGGGGAATGAAGATGCGATTTTTTGTGGGGGGGATTGTATGGCGGGGGGTGGAAATGTCTTGAGTGCGGTGCAGAAGTCGTTTCCGAAGAGTAGGGCGTTTAAGACTCGTGTGCTCGGGGGATGTGGTCATGCGGTTAATGTGCATTTTGTGGCGGCGGAGGCGTATAGGGTTATGAATGAGTTTTTGGGGGAGGAGGGGTTTTAGTTTAGGATGAGGATGGGGAGGGGGGAGGGAGGGGTGAGAGGAGGTGATTGCGGGACTATTCATTTATTCATTTATTTGTTGTCTTGAAGTTAGATAATTTGTAATTTGTAATGAATTATGAGAGGGTTAGATGGATTATGGATTATGGATGATAGATGATAGATGATAAATAAATATATAGATTGGTAATGAAGATGCGAATGAAAATGAAAATGAGAATGAAGATTATTTGATAATTGAACAGAAAGAGAAGACGAGATGAGGCGAGGCGAGGTGAGGTGAGGGAAGTCAGGTTAAGTTAAACAGATTTTTATTTTTATTTTGAGTGGAGGAGTCGGGGATGAGCACCGAAAAGAGAAAAATACTTATTCCCAAGAGATGAAAGGGAAAAGGATGAGTTGTTTTGTTGAAGAATTGATGTCTATTTGTCTATCTCATCTATTTGAATGCATTATGATATGATATCCAGGCTTGGTGTGCGAATCGCACTGAGATTATCCTATCCTATCCTATCCTGAGACATATCTGTCTTGATAGAGAATCGCTGTCTCTAAATCCTTTCTCGAAATTCGAGTTTGAAGGTTGAGGTTGAGGTTAAGACCAAGGTTACCTCTCGCCGTATCCTATTCTATGAATGCACTTCTATTCTTAAATCCTATCCCTTATACCTTATACCTAAAACCCCTCTGACCCGCCGCCACGGTGCCCTCATTAACCGCACCATCCACCACCTCTCCCCTATCCAACTTCTTATTCAGCCTGACCAGCATCGTGCGCAACACCAACGCCGCACACATCGCCATAAAGATCATTCCGCAGTTAACACTCATCGCCACCACGTATCGCGGGCCCGCACTACTGGGATACATATAACTTGAGTAGATACTACTCGCATTGCTGACTGCATTGATGAATGCTAGGGCCACTGCTCTCTTAGCCGGGGGACGGGGCAGCGTGTTGGAGATCCATGCGAGGGCGACCACGAAACCGGCGTAGCAGCCGGGAACCATCAGCATCATGGCGAGGTAGCGGGGTGCAATACTTGTGGTTGCGGCGGCGAGGATGAATGCTACAAAGGCGAAACAGAGCGGAATGACAACGTGGAGGAAGCGTTCACCCGTTTTATCGGCGTGCCACGCGTTGAACATGGAGGTGAAGAGAGCGAGGACGTAAGGAGGCGCGGTGAGAAGGAGGGATTGAATACGGTCATACTTTAAAGTTGCGACGACGGTTCTGTGATGTGTTAGACTTTGATTTTCTCGGATTGTGCTGGACATGGGGAATCTTACGGGAAGAAATTGGTAACGGATGCAGCCGAAACAATACCAAACAAGATTATCACCAGGATATAAGTTTTAATATCTGTAAATGCGAGTTTCAAGCCGTGCCTGAAAGTTTGCTGATGGCTGTCCACCCAATCGTCCATGCCCACATCCTCTTCCAAACGCCAAACAGCCAATTCTCGTTCCCGGTCCGTCAACCAAGCCGTGGTGCGAGGAAAATTGGGTAGGATAAAGTAGGCAGTAGCGGCAATAACGACGGTGATTGCACCTTCGATAATGAAAAGCCATCTCCAGGCTAGAAGACCATGGACTCCATCCATACCACCCGTGATACCTGCAGCGATGAGACCCGAGAAGGCTCCGCTAATGAGGGATCCGGAATAAAGGAGTGCAGTGCGCAAACCTAATTCCTTGCGGGTATACCAACATGAGAGGTAGTAGAGACAGCCGGGCTGTGTATTGTTAGGACTTATCATGTATCAAATCGCCACATGCATCAAGACTTACAAAATAAGCAGCCTCTATGAAACCGAGGAAGAATCTACAAACAAGAAGACCCGCGAAATTTTGGGTACCAGCTGTTGCACCTGATATCACACCCCAGATCATCATTGCTCCGGGAAGATATAATGCTGGTTTGCCGATTTTATTCAAGAATAAATTGGAGGGAATTTGCATTAGGAGGTATCCCACGAATAGGATACTGACACAAGTCTATGAATTTTAGCTTTTATCACCCATGAACACTTTACTGCCTACCTGATATTGATCTCCCACTAAATTCAAATCTTCCTCCATTCCTGCTAATCGTGCTGCTGCAATATTATTCTACCATCATTCAGTAATCATCCAACATAAATGGTTATTAGAGTAATTAACGCACCCTATCTAGATAATTCATGATATACATCAGAATGACCATAGGTAACAATCTCAGATCGATTTTCCTTTTGAGTTTGGCTTCAATACTGAGGCGTTCTCCAGGAGACAAGGCTGCGATCCATTCTGGCGGTTCAAGAACTCGAAGACCGGGATCTATCACCGCAGCTGATGTCGTCGAATCATCCTTATCGACATCTTCTACATAATCCGACTGTGCCTTGACAGTTGACGCCATAGTCTCGTTACTTGAGTCGCTTTATTGTTGTATCTCTGCTGTAGCTGACTCGAAGACTTTTTCTGATGTCGGGTCTGTGGTTGTGTTACCTACACTAATGCTGGTGTGAGGTATTAATTGTACCACAAAGTCGAGATCTGGTGGTAAATGTCCAAAACAAGAAGCCAAGTTAGAGTTTGATATCACAGACAAAAACATCCGGATTTGAGAAAAGCTTGATGGAATGCCATCTAGATAGAGTTTAATCATTAGCATATTTTCATTGGGGCAAAGAAGTGAATGATGCATGACAGGTCAGAAGGTATCATGATCATCAACATCTAAAATCTGTGCATCCAGTCATTATGCCTGCTTTGGTAGTATCGCTTGCTTATCAGTGCCTGTCATATTGCCTCACTTGCTATTCGACGGGCGAACTCTGCGGGGGGAGGAAGGGCAAAGGAGCGATCAGTAACATGGGATAGCAGTGCCGACGAGAATGCGGGGGTTGTTGATCTTACTGGGGAAGTTAGCCGAGAACTCCGCAATTTAACCGGATTCTCTATTACCAACTTGAACTCTCTTTTGCACGATTCTTGATCTTTGATCTTCTCTCAAATAATTCCCCCTCATTGCCTAGAGTGGAAAAGTGGAAAGTGCGGTGAGTTCGTCTGCCGTTTTGTCCCGCTCCAAAAAACTCTCAATAACTTTGATAAATTGAGATATGTCAGCCTCTCAGCCAACATATCATGATGATAACTTGAAGTAGTAACGCGTGTATCTATCCCGAGACAATGCGGACTAGTATATACATATGGATATTATCATACATGCGAGGTTTCCCCGAATTGATGCCAATCGACAGATTCTACTTTCATTGGTTCGGAGTTTATGCAAACAGCGAAATTTCCGTTTTAGTATTCCCAATACATCGGGACACTTAGTATTGGCGACGGGAGAGTAGTGAAATGCTTCTTTTCTTGTATCGAGAATTTCGCGTTGTGATCTGTAGAACGGTTTATCTTGGCACATCTTGGTAGCCTGGTCTACGAGGCTAATTGGATGAGTGGATTGACGTAAGATCAGAGCATTTGTTGAAATTGTTAAAGTTTTGGCTGTGGTTGGAGGATCTTCTTGAGTCCTTGTTTGATTGTGTCGTTCATACCTCGCGTTGCTGGTCGGCCAGTCTCTCTTTCAACAAACACGTGAATAATTTCACCCACTGACTTGACTTCTTCAACTCCCCTCTCGAATAACCCGATTTCGTAAGTAACACTGCTGTTCCCAAGCTTGTTGACACGTAAAGCTAGATCAGCGACAGCTGGAAATGCGATTGAACCAAAGAAATCACCATGGGAGTGCACAACTAGGCCGTATTGAGATGAGGTGGGTGGATGCAGACCACAATGTTCGATAAGATATGAGTTCACGATTGAATCGTACCTTTCTCTAGTCTTAGCCATAGAGTATGTCCAATGTTCTCGATGGGACTTACAGGAAGTTATAAATGCTATTATTCATATGGTCATACATATCGTTATCAGACCTCCAAATCTTGTGTCAGCTCATTGCGATCTGTGTTAAGACGTGAAGACGTAAAGACGTAAAGACGTGAAGAAACCATACCAACGTGTTCTATATTCCAAAACGTAGCCATAATCCTCTCGCCTCCTTCTCTTAAGCTCTTCATGTGACATATTGAATAGTACTTAGTTTTTCTTTTCTCAGGATACAGGATGTTAAAGAGAACACATAAGAGGTGAAAGGTTTGGAAGGGACGAAGTTTGAAAAGGAGAACCACGATTAAGAGGTTTGCTTTCAGCCGAGGTATTTCTGAATATTCTAGTAACCTAGACGACTCCAAGACAAACTATGATGCTATTGGAAATGATGGGTATTAAATGGCAAAGGATTCTCAATGTAAGTTCATATGGTGCGCCGAAATGGATGTTCTCAACTTTGATTTGAAAGGTTCAAGTCCCCGCGGCACCATGTATGTCAACAGGAACAGGATGTCTAAGTTGATGAGTAGCACCATACCCAGGTACTACAATCATTAAATTGACGATTAACGCTGCACACCGCCTTGGGCAGAACATAATTTTCTAAATTGATCTGGACTTGCGCATCATAATTTCGATAAATCGTTCACCAGTTGTTTGCGTTATCTCGCACGTTAAATTTCAATCCGATCAAGTGGCTCCTTCACCTCGAATTATTGCGCTTTTGGCCCGCAGGGCTGGAAGAATGAATCCTACTATGGCGCTCGTTGAAACTTCAGTCGGGTATCCTCCCGTGGAAGAGAAGAAACCATTTGAAGAACCCCCCGCAGTTGTGGTTACACCTTCCGATCCATGGCCGCGACCATATTATTTAGATAATGGGTTACGCAGAGTCGCGCCGTACCATTTCACCTACAATACATACTGCAAACAAAGATGGAGAGGAAGAGAAATATTGGATATATTTTCAAGCGAATTTCGAGATAGGCCATTAGAATACTACGTACGTTCGGCATGATTCGAAACAATAAAAAGTCTTACTGACAGGCGTAGAAAGATGCTATGGAGCGCGGAGCTATCGCTGTGAATGGAAAACCTGTCGAGTCAACTTCACAAATCATCAAGAATGGAGATGTTATATCACATACTTTACATCGCCATGAACCTCCCGTTACAGCTCTGCCAATATCGGTCGTACATGAAGATGAAGATATCATTGTCATCAACAAACCTTCCGGCGTCCCCGTCCACCCAGCTGGTCGATATAATTACAATTCCGTAGTTGAAATTATGAGGGCTGAGCGCGGCCATGGCTGGAACCCACTTCCGTGTAATAGATTGGATAGACTGACCAGTGGTATCATGTTCATTGGAAAACACGCCAAGGCCGCAGAAGCACTAAGTTTACAAATATCAGGACGCACTGTCAGAAAAGAATACATAGCACGAGTGAAAGGAAAGTTTCCAGACGGAGAGGTTGTGTGTGATATGCCAATTCTGCAGATATCACCAAAACTGGGGTTGAATCGTGTGAGGGCAAATGGTAAAGCTGCGCGCACGGTTTTCAAGCGCCTTGCATATTATCCTCCAGAACAAACTGAAGACAGCTCCGAACAGACAGAGCTAGATCAGTCGAGACCATCAATAACAAAGGAAGGCTACTCGATCGTTAGATGCCTTCCAGTCACTGGTCGTACGCATCAGCTCAGGGTTCATCTACAGTTTCTAGGCCATCCTATTGGCAACGATCCTATATATTGCAATCAACGTGTATGGGGAACAAGGCTTGGAGCAAATGACTCGGACGCAACTCAGGATACGGATGAAGACATCATTACTCGTCTTTCGAGGATGGGCAAGTCAGAAGTTGCTGATGCTGTAGCCTACCATGATGAAATGGTAGACGAATACAATAAGAAGAAAGCCGAGAAGATGTCCGGAGAGCTATGTGAAGTATGCCAGACCCCATTATATACCGACCCTGGTGAACAGGAGTTATCTCTATGGCTTCACAGTCTTCGTTATGAAGATGCTGGAGGCTCTTGGAGTTATGTGAGTCCTCTCCCAGCCTGGGCTTTACCCCCTGATGGTATGGATGGACCAACCGAAGTTGGAGGTATGGAAGAATTAGTCGAGGCAGTGAAGGAAGACAATCCCGAAATTGCATGAGCCACCACACCTTGAAAGTCATGCCTATTATCGACCTTATTTCGATATGTCCTTCTGGATTTACTTAGCTAGGTACCAAGAGAATCTATTCAGATCCATGCTATACACACCATAGGGACTAACGACATCCATGATCCAACCCTTTTTGACTCTTTACACTGCATATCACGGAAGACGGGCTGTTTTTATGTGGGTAAAGGTAGTCGAATTGTCTAAAAGAGGTATTACGAGGGAGGATCTCATGCTCCACTTAAGTAGCTAATCTCACGCAAAGGCTTCCTCCTCAATTCACTTCTTCCTTCTATCACTTTGATTGCAGGTTTTAGTGAGGGCGATAAGATGTTGCTATCTATCTTCCGGGAACTTCCCAGTAACGCCGCGGAAGATCGAATTGGCCCCAACGCCCACGTGTGATAACGCACGGATTCGGGATTGCCGATCTTTGATTTCAGTTAATAAATTTTGATCCATTTGTGAAATTCGTTGAATCTGAAGGACTTTTGAAATCTGGATCCTCAAAGAGTCCCAGGAAGCCTCAAGAGTTGGCTGTTGTATTTGTCGAGACTGCGGTCCATCAGTCCTTGGCTATTAGCATCGTTGCCATTTGCTGACTACAGAAACGGATACTCGAGTACAGTTTATGATACACGTGAGCAGGGGAGATACCGAATCCTACCTACCTAATAACATCGATATTTGTTCACGAGACTGCTAGGTATTGAAATCCATGCATTTGCTCGTAGTAAATTCTTCAACAATTTGATTTAACTATACTGTCATAGTCACCGCTAGAAGAGTTACTGGATTATTCCAACACTAGGGGACCTTATTAGGACTGCTGCATTATTAGTATTGGAATATCTAATCCAATTGGAGGGCTTGAGTCCCGGTAAAGTTATAAGCCGGCACGATTTATGTGCGGAATGTCGAGCTAATCAATTAAGGTGAATATATACGGACGAGGTACATAGTACGTGTGTATATACGATGCACAGAAGGGACGGCATGAACCCTCCTCTAACCTATTAGTTTTAGAAATCTATAATCGAAACTTTTTTTCCCCATACATCCAAGTCAAGTTCGATTGAGTTCATTAATCTCGCTCATACGAGATGTTATTCTCGGAATTTCATTGGTAAAACTCTACCACCGTACACATCACCTTCCACCCACCATTCAAACCTACCTCCGTCGTCCACCTAGATTCCTAGGAGTATCCTCCAAATAGAAATACTCTAATGTAGATAGCCTCGCTTTCGGGTTCTGAATGTATGCTAGGTATCTAGTACCGTCTTCCAAGGCTGAGTTAATTATACTTTAATTTTCAAATTCGATCTCGTTCGAATTTCTTCAAAACCCCTCAAGCTTCCTCACAAGCTCACAATCCGTCTGCGCCACGCCATAATTACTTGCACTACTAGTCAAAGTAGTTTTGGAGCCAAAACTCATGCATCTTGGCACTAGCTCACTACTTGGGTACTTACAGTAGAGTAACTACGGACCGCCCAAACTTTCTTTAATCTTCTATCTTACAATTCATCTTATATGCATCATTTCATGTACTGATTCATCTTACTTGGAATCGGTGCGACTTCCATCTCCGCAGTCTACCCCCTCAAGTCTTATAATCCTCTGCTGTGCCGAAGAGTTTAAAGTAACTTCACAAGCAAGCTCGAACGACGTTTCCGTGTAGGTGATTTTCAGATCTCCGAACTACCGAAAGCCAAATCTACAACCATCTACATTCCGTGAAAGTTGAGCTTCTTAGGAATTGTTCTATCTTTTTCCTACCATTCCAATCGAGATTTCGTACGTTGAAAAATACATCTGCAGCCAGCTTTCACGTTGCCGGAATTTGATTCTAAAACGACGCACGTACCCCAAACGATACGATCCATGGGTCACGAGGAAATCCAGGGGAATATCTGATCTGTGTTATAATCTACTCTTGCAACCATCTACAAAGTCTCCAATCATGTCCCAACCAATCTATGGCTCCAACGAACCATTAGGGTCCGATGTAGATGGAATGAACCATTCAGATTCGATGAATGCAACCGGTAAGAAAGCCGGTGAAAAGAAACGAGGTACGAACGAGTCAGGCAAATTTACAAGAACCGATGTCTTAGCCATCTGTTCAATTCAAGATTCAAACTAACTTTCGTAGTATCCCGGGCTGGAACTCGCAGTGTATCGACTTTGAGCCCTGCCCAGTACGTACAGAATTTCATGATAGTTGCTTGATGTGATACTTTCGAGCAGGATCCAGCATACTATCTTTATTCTTTCATTGAAAGTTGTTAATCAATTTCTATCAGGCTAGCAAGGAAAAGGGCCAATGATCGTGAAGCGCAGCGGAACATTAGATTGAGAACTAAGGTGCGGCAAACTACTTCATGGTCCATTTCAACCTCAGGTTGAGATACTTGACCAGGTTTCACATTCAAAACTCATTGAATTGGTTTGTTGACTAGAAATGTAGGAGCATATTGAGAGATTGGAGGCCCGTATTGAAGAGCTTACCTGCGGTCGTGAACCTGGTGTAGAGCTCGAAGAGGTGCGGAGGCGCAATGAGGAATTAGAGCGAGAAGTAAGACAATTGAGTGAAAGTCTGGCACAGTTGAGGGACGATGATAGCTCGAGTACGTATGCACATTGCATTTTCTCAGATTTGCAGTCGAATTTTTGAAATTGAGCCTCTACGCGTATTCATGGACTTTTTGGGAGGGAAGGGCCAAGGTGTCTGTAAATTCCTCGGCTGTCAAAGTTGGCGCCATCAAGCAATTCCAGACACGGAAGCATATGTCAAGGACATTGAGAAATAGTTGTTTGTTCAAATATCGCCTGGATCTTTGTGATTTTGACATGCTTTAAACTTCTCAACTTCTTCAATGAGTAATTATTTCCTAAGGCTAACCAAAAGCCACATAAGGTCCGGATCGATCTTCTATGTTGAATCTTGGACAAACTGCAATCATGCCTGGCTCGTCAGCACGAGATGTCCGTCCAGCAATGGCCTCAACTAGGTCTGTTAGTTCTGGAGCAGGGTGGTACCAACCACTACCTCCGAGAAATCCATCTGGTACTAACAGGCACTCATTCAGCATGTCATTCGGGCCTATGGATATGGCAGCACCAATATCGGGGCCAGCTTCCACCAGTGCTTTGGATGAGACTAATCGATTTTCCTATTTTGATCCGATTCCCGCTGTGAACTTCAATGATGGTATCGCAGTCCTGTTTCTTTGTTTGAAGTTCAGTCTCTTTTGAATGTTTAAAATAATGACAGTTTAAAGTAGGAAACTGGGCCCCAAGATCTATGCCATCAGATATCGTTCAAGATTCCCGCCTAGCTACCCCGCAGCCGCGGTCTTTGGTACCACAAAGTCTTACATCTCCAGTCAGACAAGCAATACCGCCATCCTTGCCGCCATTTCAGTCACTTCAACCTTGGGCTCTACCCATACTCAACACATCGACGCCGACGTGTGGAGTTGACACATATCTAATGAATATCATAAACGGACAAAAAGAACTCGCGAGACAGGGAGCACCCGAAGCTCAAATCATTGGACCCTCTCAACCTAGTATGAAGGCGCTTATCTACCCTGATGACCCAAATCAGACCCACGTGGTCTCTACAATCATTTCAAATCTTCTTACAAACCTTGCCGTCAAAGGTCTCGCCGAACGTGCAGGCTGCCTCTATCTAATGTATCACATTTGCCAATGGCAAATCTATCCCTCATCGTCGACGTACGGAAATTTGACAGATTGGACTTCACCTCGAACATCCCAGCTCATCACAGCTCATCCCTTGTGGGCAGATTCCATATTCTGGGGCAAACTCAAAGATAGGGTAATTGAAAAGCAAGACATTTATGCCAACGAAGATTTTCAGAATGCATATATACTTTGCATCAATGCGAATTGGCCACGTCCGGATCTGGAAGCATTTAGGTTCGAAGGTGACGATATATTTATTACAGAAGAGTTTGAGAATCACATCAAAACTCTGTCAAACTGGAGCTTGGACGAAAGATTTGCTGCTAGATATCCCGAACTAGCACCTTTGGTGAAAATATCCGGATTAGGGGAAATGGGATTGCAAGGACCCTACGTATTTTAATGAGAATAGTTTGCGGAGTATAGGCGTTGTTAGACTACAAACAGGTTCATGGAGACATGAAAATACCAAGGACATTTGTGGTGGGAAACATGGACACAGTGGAGATTGAGACTGGCTCCAGTATAAACGAAGAAACGAAGTTATGACTTGAAACGTTCTTCATTCCACTGTAACTAAGAGCCTCAGGATTCAAGTGGCCAAATGAAACGTCAGCCACCACTTCGAGTATAATAAACTTTATCATATAGATTGGATCGAGATTGTGGTGAACTCTAAAACCACTGTGTGGGGATTTCAAGGAAAATACATAGGAAGAGGTACATATAAAGATGGAGATATAATGATGAGTATATTTACGAGACCACTAATCTTCGTAATTGACCGGCCATGTAGATCTTATTCCGGCTCACACTAACAAACTCTATTGTACTGTCCGTTCGAGCCGTTCGAGCCGTCATGTCATTTGAGATGGTAAAAACGGAGGAAGATCTGTACAACGAGCTAAGTTGGTGCTATATGTATAAACGTTTGTGAGTTGTGTCTACATATATCCACGGGTGTGATTGATAAGCTTCGGCTGAAAGGAAGAATTGAGACATCAAATTACTTGACATGAAATTAGACATTAAAAAATACCTACCTACCGATATTTTGAGACTTGATTTGATGATAAATCGAATTCCATCCAATTGTAGACGGGATGTGAAATGTAACAAATAACAGACTTTTTTATTAATATATTTATCCATCTTTCAATCGATAATATGATTATCTGATTTGAAATTGCATATTGAGAAGGAGGATTTTCTCCGGTGGAAATAAGTTCGGGCATTGGATGTGCGGGATCTTGTAGATCTTGTATGAGGGGTCGGTCATATATACGAGAAAAATCTTGTTTTGATGGCAAAGCTATATGTGAGAATCATATACCGAGGCACCTAGTAGATCTGAGGACTTACGCTTGTCACTTGGATTAAAGTTTGAGACTGTTTGGAGGGGAGATCGATGCAGCGTCGTAGGGCTGGGGAGAGACAAGACTGTGAAGGAAAGGAGGATGTCAGAGGGTTTGATCACGTGCTGACGCGACTGGAAACCCCCACAGTTTGGTAGATGCTGCGCTTTCTTATCTTGTTGTTTGATAGGAACGGATCAGAGCAGACAACGATATTCTGAATTGAAGAGAATGAGAATGAAAGACGAGCAATGGGGAGAGGGATAATGGTAAGAGTTTCGATTTAGAATTGAATGGTTCAATTGCAGTACCTATTCAACGATGCCTTAACTGCGACGAGAAACCGTATCAAAACTCAAAACGCGTCAATCTTTTTCTAATTCTCTTTCATGAATGAATTGTTGATGGGTTGATTTTGTTTCTTTGAATGCTCATTAGCAATTCACTACCTAACTATTTTCACCGATTTCAATTCGAGTTTTTCTTCCATAAACGATACATTTGTAGCATTTCGGTATCTCGGTATTGACAGCATCAACGAGGTTCTAGATTGCATTCCAACAGAATCCCATCATGGCTCGCACTTCGCATAATGAGGATGAAGTGAGCACAGAGGATGAGGACTTTGACCGGAGACCCGATAAGACAAAGGCACTACTTGCAGATGGTGGGTTGATCAGAAGTGTTTCCAATGCGTGTACTAATTATTCTTCAGAGGTTCTTTCAATCTCCGACGATGAGGATGATAACGAATCCGAACCAAAACCCTCCAATGCTGACAAGAAAGGCAAACGTAAAGCTCTTGAGCAAGTGGAATGGTCAGACGATGATGAAGAGGAAAACCCTTACGAAAAATTCAAGAAGAGGAAGTCCGAAAAACGCAAGAAACTAAATGCACAAAAGAAACGGATAAAGGAGCGAGCAAAAGATGCGAAGCAGGCGAAAGAGAAGGGAGGCTCGTCCAAAACAAACGAAAGGGTATGGGGCGACGATTCGGATTACGAAATGGACGATGAAATCCCCGAATATTTACAAATCAGGCGGAAGGAATTTGATTCGAATTTAGAAGAAATGAAGAGCGCCGGCCTTCAGCTCCCCCCAGACTATTCTGATATATACTTCTCGGACGATGAGAGATTGGCAGAGCTTGAAGAACGACCGGAATTTCCCAGTACTGTGGAGCCATCAAGACCCTATGCAGATATCAACATGGAGTTATCCAACGGAGTCATACCAGCATCCATTGCACAGTATCTTCGAGATTATCAGGTGGATGGAGTCAAATTTCTCCATGAAAAATTTGTCTACCAGAAAGGTGGTATCTTAGGGGACGACATGGGGTTGGGAAAAACCGTACAAGTGGCTGCTTTTCTGACTGCTGCGTTTGGCAAGACAGGAGATGAGCGAGATGGAAAACGTATGCGAAAAGTGAAGAACGCCGACGAAAAACGATGGTATCCTCGAGTACTTATTGTCTGCCCTGGCTCTTTGATTCAGAACTGGAAGAACGAATTGATGAGATGGGGGTGGTGGAATGTTGAAAAGTTTCATGGGGGTGTGACGGAGAAAGAATTCGTACTTCGAAGTGCGCAATCTGGTCGGGTCGAAATTGTCATTACTACATATGCAACATACAAAAATCATAAGGATGCCCTGAATACGGTTTCTTGGGATTGTGTTGTGGCTGATGAATGTCATCAACTCAAGGAACGGACATCTCTTACGACTCAGGCAATGAATGAAATAAATGCTTTGTGTCGCATAGGACTTACAGGAACTGCTATACAAAATAAATACGAAGAACTCTGGACGCTGCTCAACTGGTGCTCGCCTGGTAAGGTTGGTCCGTTGGCCACTTGGGTTTCGACAATCTCGGAGCCTCTACGTATCGGGCAAAGTCACGACTCCACTAATCAACAGGTAAAACGGGCTAGAGAGACTGCGAAGAGGTTGGTTAATAACCTCATGCCTCATTTCTTTCTACGAAGGATGAAGACTTTGATTGCTCATCAGCTTCCGAGAAAGACGGATCGATTGTTACCATGTCCGCTTACTGATCTTCAACGAGAAGCATACGAGAGGTTTCTTGAAAGTGATGTCGTACAATTCGTCAGAAACCATGGCGAGCCATGCGATTGTGGCAATGGCAGAAATTTAACGCGTGGCGGCTGTTGTCATTCTAAGATACCTGGTACCAACACGAAATGGCAGGCTATGGTATTTCCTATCATGACCACACTTCAGAAGTTATCGAACCACTTGGCTCTTCTTCTGCCTAATGACGGGGATCCTAGGGAGAAGCAAGAACGAGATCTGGAATTCCTCCAATTGATGTTACCAGATAGATGGGAGGAACTATACAAAGCTCGAGATTTAATTGCGAATCTGTCAAACCCCGAGTTTTGTGGGAAGTGGAAAGTGTTGAGGAAATTATTGAAACATTGGCACGAGGAAGGAGATAAGGTTTTGATCTTTTCCCATAGTGTCAAGCTATTGAGGATGCTTCAACATTTGTTCCAGAGTACTAGCTACAATGTTAGCTTCCTCAGCGGCGAAATGAAGTATGAAGACCGTCAGGACACAGTAGATGATTTCAATTCCGATCCCAATCAATTCATCTTTTTGATATCAACTAAAGCTGGAGGTACGTTTGCTTTTTTACTTCATGATGTTCTACGTTGCATATCTTTTTGGATTTTTGATTCCCAAATTTGATCCTTTGTAATACTTACTTTGTCTATCTAATAGGCGTTGGCTTGAATATCACCAGTGCTAATAAAGTAAGTCTCATCTATTAAAACACTTCCCAGCAATGACTAATCTTACAGGTTGTTATCTTTGATCCCAATTGGAACCCTAGTTATGATCTACAAGCCCAAAATCGAGCATACAGAATAGGTCAGCTCCGAGATGTTGATTCATTTCGACTTGTTTCCGCTGGGACCATAGAGGAAGTCGTTTATGCACGCCAAATATACAAGCAACAGCAAGCTAACATCGGATACAATGCTTCAATGGAGCGTCGATATTTTAAGGGTGTACAAAATGCTGTTGGCCAAAAAGGAGAGATCTTCGGATTAGATAATCTATTATCTTTTCACGCGGATGAAATTCTACTTCGAGATATCGTCAATAAAACCAATGTCGCGGAGACGAGAGCAGGAGTCGCCATGGCTAGTTTTGATGTGCAAGCAGCACTTGACGATGATGATAATCCTCTTCGCGCAGATGATGATGACCCTAATGGTGCCATGAGTCAACTTGCCGCTTTGATAACCGATAATGAAGAAGGTATCAAGCGCATGAAAAAACCCACTCGGAAGTCTGATCCCATAGCTGCAATCCTAGCATCGGCGGGCGTAGAATACACGCACGAAAACTCGGAAGTAGTCGGCTCGTCAAAAGTTGAAGAAAGACTAAGCCGTCGAGCAGAAGAAACAGGCGGTGAAATTGGATATGGTGAAGAATTACTCTTTGGACCCATGTCACGACAAGCGGAAAATGGAAATTTACGTTATGAGTTCCATCCCCCAGAGGAGGTTATGAAGAGACAGTTCTGTACGATGGCAAAAATGTTTGGGTTTTCTAGTGCGACGGAATTTGCTTTTGTGGTGGAGGGATGGACGCAGAAACAGAGGACGGATTGTTTGGACAGGTTCTATTTGAAGAGGAGAGAGAGATTGGAGGAGTTGGATAGGGAGAAAGCGGAGAAAGAGAATGCTGAGAAAATGGAGAGGGCGAGAGAGCAGGCAAAGGCTAATCTGGAGGGAGAGACGGAAAGTGATAATGATGAATTGTGATGATACCCCTATTTTTTGGAGTTTGGTGTAGGGAGAATGGGCGTTGAGATTTCTTGGGTGTAAGTCTTGAGAGAATGTACTTCTATTAATTAAATGCGTGGGCTTTTGATCTTGAGTCTAGATTTGAATGTCCAATATGGTCTTATAGCACGGATAATACAGACTGCATATAACGCGAACTTTGGCACCAAATCTTATTGTATATATTCCGGCGGCAGAAATCTCTCATGCGCTCAAGTCAAAAATGTAGATTTTAAGATTTTACTAGAGAGATTTACAAGCCGCTTCGGTCCGGTAGTCTACTAGTGACAAGTAGCGATAGCTATCTCATATTAGGGCGAGTTTGGCGCCTCTTCTTAACGAACGAAAATAAGACTGTCGTCAATTTGATCAGAGCTATATGGATACTTGAAGAGCTCGGATGAAGAAATTTCCTGGCCAGCAAGAAACAGTCCCCAGCGTAACGCTTCCTCATCACCATAATTAAAGCTCTCAAAACCCCCATCTCAAAATCGTCTCGGCTACTCCTTCGTGAATTTCTCTCCACGATACCATTTTTAGCAGATTTGTGATAGCTAGATACCCCGGCGAACAAAAATCGAGATGTTGGATAGACCGGGTTACTGATTTCAGATTAAATTCTTAGAACGACAGGTAAAATCCAAGGTCCGATGACATCTTTGAGTATTTTCTCTTTCTGATCGTTATTTCCTTTTCTCTCTCACTCGCATCTTCACCTCGAAAGGGAAAGCTGCATAAATAATAACAATCTGTTCCAGCTAGTTAGTTGATTTTGTAAATCAGCGAGATAAGCGCCATGTGATTGTTTGATTCGAAGGTCTCTGCAACGTCCCGTGATAATAGTAATTGTCCCGCAAGGCGTTCCATAAGCGGAGAATATGAGTGGTTGACGGGTATACGCATATGTGTGGCGGGGTGTCAAGTTTCGAGGAAACGGGATTGGTAAGATTGGGTGGGTGAGTGGTGGGGAGATTCGTGGGTAGTTTTTGGTGATGATTGTTTAGAGGTAAGGAGAGACTTTTTAGGAGTTGGGAAGGTGAAAAGAAAGAAGGTGAAAAGAAGGAAGGAAGGAAGGAAGGAAGGAAGGAAGGAAGGAAGGAAGGAAGGAAGGAGGGAAGGAAGGAAGGAAGGAAGGAAGGAAGGAGGGAAGGGGAGAAGTGGATTGGAATCGATTACATGAAATGGGTGCTCGGATTAGGAAATGAGACTTAGTGGATGAAGACTTGAGAAATCAGGTTGAAAAAAAAAGGAAAGAAAGAAAGAAGAAGGGCTTCGGGTGGCTGCGGGGACCAGCGATAGGTGTCGAAAGTAGGAGTCAAATTGAGCAATCAAGAAGAAATTTGGAAAGAAGGGTCCGCAGGGTGGTATTGAAGATGAAAATCAGGGTGGAGCGGCTATTCAAAATCTCCAATGAGTTAGAGGTCCTGGGATATTTTTACTATATGGGGACTGGGAATTATAATCTAGCGGATATGCGCAGGTACGAGGAATGATAGGATTCGAAGATTTGTTGAAGTATCTGGGTATGTATGCGTCGATCAAGAGAAATGCTTCTGTGGTTGGTGTGTTGTCGATACATATTTGGATCTTGGTTGAATCATATGGATGGGTACCTTGTTGTGGATGTGGTAATGGGCATTTCTGGGAATTGGCGGGGTTAATGGAGAATGATATGTATGATGTATCGCACCTCCGACGGAGAAGAAAAAGAAAGTTGAGTGGTGTGGATTTGGTGAGCGGATGGATTATCATTCAGATTGGTTGGTTTGGTTGATAGGTAAGAGGGCAGTTTATCTTCAAGGAAATATCTAATTAAAGTGTGGGTTATGGAAAGATGCACATTCTCTGGTTGTTGATCCATAGTTTATGGAATGAGATGTGCCATATCTTGTTCCTTTCTTTTTTTTCGACTGGAGATCCTCAGATTCTTTACTGGTTCTCCGTACGATGCGCATAGACGGAGAGACGAACGCGCTCGATGAATTATGATCTGGCCACCAACGCGACGACTCAAATTTTCAAAGATACTACGATTCCGATTTCAAATAGCCTGAACTGCAACCCGAAGAGGCTTTTAGATCCTGAATTCTTAGACGATTCAAATGACATGGAATACTGAATTTGTTTTGACTATTGTACTGTTTTCAGCCATTGAGAGTCTGCTTTCAGTCTACTAGTCGGTACGGACGCCCTAATACTACACGTTGCGAGCTACACATAGCGTATACCGAGAACTTCTACCAGTCGCCATATTTGATATGCCCATTCATCACTTGATACCTGACCACTTCAAGCAATGGCAGATGTACACTTTCGCTTCCATGATTTTGATAGGAGACATGATTTCGAGGTTCGATTCCAAGGGGATGTGAATGCGGGGGGTACAAGGGCAGATATTGCAGAATTGAGGGCGGAAGTTAGGAGAGTACGGGATGAATTGCGACATCAAGAGGAGAGATCTTTAGCATTAGGGAATGAAGTTGGAGGGATGAGAAGGGAAATTAGGGACGTGAGGGAAGAGCTGAGGATGACGAGGAGAGAGCTCTGGGGGACTAGGGCAGAAATGTTGAGGCTCAGAAATGAAGGCATGCAAAATAGGGGAGACTTAAGAGGCTTAAGACAGGATCTTCTGGATTTGGAAGGGGAGATTATGGGGTTGAGGGGTGAAATGAGGAATGGGATCAGAGGTATAAGGGAAATGAGGGAAGAGGTTTTAGATTTCATGGATGAAGTTGAGAGGGGACAAAGAGAAAGGTTGAGAGATGCTACCATGGCTATTGAAAGATTGAGAAGAGAGCTTATGGAAGAACTGACTAGGAGGGATGCGAACAACGTTCAAATAGAGCTACGATTAATAGAGGAACTAGCGAGGCGGGATGCGAATAGCGTTCAAATGGAAGTACGAATAATGGAAGAATTTGAGAGGAGAGATGAGTACAATATTCGGATGGAACGGCGGCTGATGGGAGAAGTTCAAGATCTTAAAACGAGGAACGCAGAAAGATCAGAGAGGGAAAATGAGTTGATAAATGATGTGGATAATCTAAAAAGTGGCAATTTGGAGAATGAACGGGCAATGAGAGGTGAAATTGAAAGTCTGGGCAATAGGATGGACGCTTTGGCGCTGGAAAATGGGGGGTTGATGGAAAGAGTAACGTGGTTGGAGACGCCAGGACCTGAAATTGAGGAAGATGTCGAGCCAGTGGATGACCAGGTAGTCAATAATATGGCTGAAGAACGGCACGATAAAGGAAGCCGAAAGAAACGTAAGAAAGAAGGATGCCGGTGGCCGAGATTCTATACCAGAAGTAAGAAACATAGCATTAGAAGGAGCTAGCTTTAAGGATCGTGAAGTATACAGTTACATGAGCATAGATTTGAACATGATATGTGACTGAATGGGATTGGAAATTTTTCAAAAGAGCCTCTTGGTGCTATCTAAAGGACTTTCTCGGAGAATAATCGACATTCAAGCCCGCTCTACGCCGTAGAGCTGACTATGATGAAAAACACAGAAACTCTCAGTCTTGCCACTGGACTGTCGAAGGATCGAAATCACACCCCAGTAATAAGACAGCTCTTGATCCTTACTTTTTTATTTTATTAAATATGCAAGAACTTTTGAACTTCTCAGAGCTCTTGATTGATCAAAAGTTTTCGACTGTTCAAGAGTCTTCAACCATTCCAAGATGTCCAGTTTCAATCACGTCAAACACGCCTACAGGATCATTCTTAAAAGGACCGATCCCAAAATCAAGTGGGAAGATAGTCAAACCAACTGCCCAAGATCTTCAGATACGCCCTCATTAATACCCTTGGGACTCTCCGCCACTACCAGCCATCGCGGCGATAAAAACAAATTCTCATCACATCACTCTTAGTATCTATATCCACTCGGATCTTTCATATTCAAGATTCTTTTCACTTTCCAGACCATTTCATACTCGGTCAATTATTCAGCCAATGCTACCATGACCAAAACTTAATACCACGAAGAATTGTCGAGATGTCGATGTCCTGGTTTGCATCCTTCGCGAGACGACCTGCATTTGTGTTTGAGGTACTGGTAGCAAGTTTCATTGGCTATACATACGAAGGTTCGAAGCAACTCCTACTATGTAACAATAAGAGAGGATGTTTGGTCGGACCGACTGTAACGCAGTGGTTTGGAGAGTATGATATAGCAATTGCTTGCATCGCGGCTTTCCAACGAGCAGAAGAGAAAATAGGGGACAGAATCAAACTGGATCTAAATCTGAAGAGAGATCTATGAATCCAAAAATCGCCGAGTACAACAATATGCCGTGGAAATATCATAAATGACCATTGCCATGCAATCGTTGGATTTGCGCCACTGGAACAAAGCCAAGAAACCCCAATTCAGGGTGTGTTCTTGTACAGACTTCAAAGGACTTTACCTATGAAAATTGGCAGTACAGGAATGAGAAAAGGTCTTGCAGAGATCGTACTATCAATACGAAACGATTTTATGTATCAGCATCGAAGAAGACAATATCCTTGTGTGACCACAACACAACCTCCAAGTGAATGAAGTGAAGCAAGGGGACGAATAGCTATAACAATTTCGGACCGATGATATATGCGCCAAGTATGTCGAGTTTTGAAATGCATGAAAAATGCCCTTCTCGGCGTCAGCCATGTGCGGCGGGGGTTTTCACACTCAGTACATAATCGTTGTGTGTATTGGATAGGTTTTGGCTAGGTTTCCAAGGAAAAACTTGCCACCCGTTCTGAACACAGCATGCATGTGATATATGAAATGAAGGTACGACTGAGAATTCATGTACCTTTTTCATTACTTCTGCACCATTTTCCAATTGAAGCATGTAAGTCATATCGTTGTCGCCTTCACAAATGAACATTGGCTACACGTGGTTGAATTTAGGTTATCTTAGCGCCGTTTGTGCCGAGGACAAGCTCTCCTCTCGTTAGAACATCCTCCACATTCCTATAAAATTGGCCACGACACCTCGATTCAGTTCAAATTCTTACAGCATCTCATACAATCATGTTCACCTGACGGACCGAATACTGACAGCTAAGAATGTCAATTACACCGTTCAATATGGCCCAGCAATTGTGATGAAGATGATCCAAGTTGTTGGGATGAGATCCATTCATCCCATTTGATATCCATTTGAAATATCATTAATTCCAAGAAACTATTCAATTAACGAAGTCACACGACAGAAACAGCTCAACCGAAAATGGTTTCTCGAGACTCGAGCTGCATGGGAAGGTTGATACGATTCACTGTGATTGGATGTTTTATCTTACCCCAGAAAGTAGTTGGATACTTTCCGATGAACAGCCTCCCTTCCCCGCAATTGGTTGTGAAGGGTGTCGATGCTTTCAAGGGCTTCAACTTGAATTTCATGACCTCTCAATGGCTAAAGATTCCATTAGAGTTTGAGGATCCTTGTAAGAAGTCTTCAATACGATGATCATTGTTCTTAAACACACTACACACACTGTCCTTTATTGTCATATGTAACATTGCTATTCCGTACGTAATTTGGCCAAGACTCCAAATCACCCCAGATTTGATATTGAAGTTCGTTTATGGTCTCATTAGTTTTGGGATTCATTTTGTTTTGATATTACTTACTCATTGTGTATTAATTTCCTTTCCACCACATGTACCGTAGGTAGGTACCTAGGTACTTCCCGTGTGCAAGCCTTGGAGCTTTTCTTCCATGCACCCAATCACCCATTTTACATACCGAATTAGTGAATCCCTTGCTCATCGTATGGTACTTTCCCCACGGAAATTATCCAATTAATCCCTTTTAGATGCGAAACGTATCAAATAAACTTCATACATGGAATCGTACCTGCCTACCCCTCTACATAAACAAGACCTTCTTCCTTTCACTTCACAAATTCTAGATTCTTACACAACATCAATTTCATACCACTTTTCCTCTAAATTCAAATTCTCCTACGGAATTCTTTTTGGCATACAGTACACATCTTCATTTTTTAATCCATCTTCGTTGCTTAATCTTTAATCAGAATATTGATTAACAAGATGGGCATCTCAATTGTCAAGCCCGCGGGCGTTCCTGGTAGATCATGGCCAGCAGTAAGTGTCTATCTACATGGTTTTCTTGAACAGAATTAACAATTTGATTAGATCGTCATCGGTTGTTTCGTTGCATTCGGTGGTCTTCTTTTTGGTTATGATACAGGTACTATTGGTGGTATTTTGGCCATGGAGTAAGTTAACACTATTGACACTGATGTGACTTCAATCTAAATTATCTTCTTACTGACACTTTGTTTTAGCTATTGGCGAAACGAATTCTCTACCGGTTATATCAATCCGAATGATAAACATCTCGATGTTTCCCCATCCCAGTCTGCCGCCGTCGTCTCCATTCTATCCGCTGGTACTTTCTTCGGCGCACTCACTGCAGCTCCTCTTGCGGACTTCTTTGGTCGACGTCTTGCGCTGTTGATATCTGCTGGTATTGTCTTTAATTTTGGTGTTGTTTTACAAACAGCTTCTACTGCATTGCCAATGTTCATTGCTGGTCGTTTCTTTGCTGGTTTTGGAGTTGGTCTCATCTCTGCTTTGAGTAAGTATTTTTATGTCATTTTGTCACAACCTGATTCATTAGCATTCATCCCTACTGCACAGAAATAAAATCATCAAACTAATACTGTCTTTCCTAGTTCCACTTTATCAATCTGAGACAGCGCCTAAATGGATTCGTGGTGTCATTGTTGGATGTTACCAATTAGCTATTACAATCGGTCTTCTTCTTGCAGCTGTTGTTGATAACGCGACACAACACCGAAGTGATACTGGATCATACAGAATTCCCATTGCTATTCAATTCCTTTGGGTACGTCACATTATTCCGAGTCTACTTGTACTTTACTAACATCTACTAAGGCTATCATCTTGGTCGTCGGATTATTGTTCTTGCCTGAAACCCCTCGCTACTTGATCAAGCGCGGCAATTATGCAAAAGCCGCCGAATCACTCGCTAAGCTCCGTCGCCTACCCCACGATGATCCATATATCCGTGAAGAACTCGCTGAGATTCAAGCAAATCATGAATATGAACTCAAACTCGGCAAAGCTTCTTATCTTGATTGTTTCAGAGGTGGTATGGCTAAGAGACTTGCAACTGGATGTCTTCTCCAAGCTTTGCAACAACTTACTGGTGTTAACTTCATCTTTTGTAAGTTTAATTCTGGAAATAGGATTATACATGGAACACACTAATGATGTTACATAGACTACGGTACTCAATACTTCAAGAACTCTGGAATCAGCAATGCCTTTGTCATCCAAATGATTACCAGTGCCGTCAACGTATCATCTACCCTTCCCGGCTTATACGGTATTGAAAAATTTGGTCGTCGTCCACTTCTCTTATGGGGAGCCGTAGGAATGTGTATCAGTCAACTCCTCGTGGCCGTCTTGGGTACCGTGACCACTGGACAAAATGCCGATGGATCCGTATTTGCCATAAACGTTGCTGGACAAAAGGCTTCCATCGCATTCATTTGCATCTACATTTTCTTCTTTGCATCCACCTGGGGCCCTCTCGCATGGGTTGTCTGCGGCGAGATCTTCCCTCTCAAAGTCCGCGCCAAGGCTCTCTCCATGTCGGTCGCCACCAACTGGCTTCTCAACTGGGCCATTGCCTATTCCACCCCCTATCTAGTCAACTACGGAGAAGGCAACGCCAATCTCCAATCCAAGATCTTTTTCATCTGGTTCGCCTGCTGCTTTGTATGTATCGCCTTTGTGTACTTCATGATTTATGAAACCAAGGGCTTATCACTGGAGCAAATTGATGAATTGTATGAGAGCAAGACTAGCGCTAAGAATTCCGTTCATTGGAAACCTAGCAAACATTTTGTTGATTTGATCGATGGTCATGAACGTAAACATGACATTGGTCATGAGAATGGAGGGGTTTTGGCGGATGAGAAAAATGAGCATAGTGCTCAGCATACAGGATTGGGTCATGATAATGCGGTTGCGACGGGTCATGAGTAGATCTGAGTTCTCTTAACGGGTTTCTATGATCGATTTTCTATCTGTGGTTGTGGTGGGTGGCGGGGGGTTGTTGTGGATTTGGAATCGTATGGTATCGTGTCATATCATATCATCATGATACTTTCGCTTTCACTTCCATCTCAATCTCTGTCTGTTTCCACCTTGCGGATACCCAATCATCTACCTACCTACCTACCTACCTAGTCAGTTTATCGATGATGGATCATGGATTATGGAGGTTCAAGTATAGCTCATGGTGTATACAAATCCTCTCTTTCTCTTTCTTTCTTTCTTTCTCGACATGGATTTAATAGTTATTGCTGTTACGGGGGGAGTGTCAGTGAGATGGAATGGGATGCCGTTTGTATTCATGGGTTGGCTTTGTCGGGACGGAATGAATAAATGAAATGCATAGCTTGCAATTGTTCTTAATACCTACTCTCCTACCTACGTACCTAGGGTATCTACCTATCGCACTCAACCTATTAATTGATTGATTTAATTGCATACGCGTTGTGCTGTTTGATCACTTGTGCACACTTATTTATTTTGATAAAAGGAATAAGATATACCAGTTATAATACTATCTCAATACTTTCGTGTGTACATTATAATCCTTTATTTTAAGCTCTTCTTTTTAATCTTTATATTTCTTAATTACTTGCTGACTTACTTCTCACCCCCTCATCAATTAACATCATATCCTCTCTATTCCTCATTACCTATTCCATATTCCCCATTAACTATTACATATACCCTATACCTATCTCCATCCCCTCTCCTATATCCAGGAATCGTTTCCATCATATCCATCACATCACATCGCATCACACAATATCCATTCATCAATTCCATCAATCAATTCCAGTACTTACTGTGACACTTTGCCTTAGAAGAACTGCAAGAGCAGGGTACAATTTATTCTTAGAATCTATAATTACAGAATCGGGAGTAAAGTGTTTGTAGAGTGCTTTTATATATTAGCTATGTATACATAATTGTGTATATATATAAGTGTGTATATAAGCAATTGCAACTGCGATTAAATACGATTTGTGATACTATCCTTTCTTTTGAAAAAGTTTGCCCTCAAGTTTCACAATTATCTAATTTATAGATGTATTAGCAATTCTAATGAGGTATTATTGTTTATGTTGTAGTATGGTGTGGTAAACAAACATATATACAAATTTTGCTTTTTTCGTAACGGGAAGGTGTATGGGAAATGGAGGAAATCGTTTTGTAGTCTAGCAATAGTGTAAAGCCTTCGAAGTATATAAATCACCCGAATTTCCTCTTTCTTCTAAATCTTTTCCGGTCATTTACCTTTTTCGTATCCCTCGATCAATATGCCTTCCACACTATCAAGAAAACGTAGTAGTAAGAGCAAGTTGTTGTCAGCGCAGCTGAAGCAGTGGGAGGATGTGTGTATGGTAATGAGTTATTTATTTTTCTTTTGTGTTTGCTTTGTTGATATACTTTCTTACAGCTTACAGCGAAGAGAGCGTCTGCCTCTTCTGTTGCGTGAGGATTTGTTCGGGAAGTGGGTTGTCTGCCGCTTTGCAAAGCTTGCTAGATGAAAACACAGGGTGGACTTTTATAGTGGATGGTAAGTCTAATCGAAAGGAATCTCCGGTTCGATTAATAATCTTGAATCTCTCTTGAATAGAGTAATCTAGTTTTTTGGATGATTATTGTATCGAAAAGTCCTTTATACTAAGCTATATATTGTGACACTTTGCCTTAGAAGAACTGCAAGAGCAGGGTACAATTTATCCTTAGAATCTATAATTACAGAATCGGGAGCAAAGCGTTTGTAGAGTGCTTCTATATATTAGCTATGTATATGTAATCGTGTATGTGTGTAAGTGTGTATGTAAGCGATTGCAGTTGTGATTGGGTATGATCTGTAACATTATTTTTTCTTTTGAAAAAGCTTATTCTCAAACTTCACAATTATTTAATTTGTAGATATATTAGCAATCCTAATAAGGTATTGTTGTTTATATTATAGTATAGTATGATAAACAGGTGTGTATACAAATTTTGCTTTTTTTGTAACAGGAAGGCATATGGGAAACGGAGGAAACCGTTCTGTAGTTTAGCAACAACATGAAGCCTTCGAAGTATATAGATTATCCGAATTTCCTTTTCTCTTTCAAATCTTTTCTGGTTATTTATTTTCTTTATATTTTTTAATCAATAATCAATATGCCTTTTATACTATCAAGAAAACATAGTAGTAAGAGCAAGTTGTTATTAGTACAATTGAAGCAACAGAAGGATATGCGTGTAGTAATAAGTTGTTTATTTTTTTTTTGTATTTATTTTGCTGATATACTTTTTTACAATTTGTAGTGAAAAGAGTGTTTGTCTTTTCTATTATACAAGGCAAGCATTTTGTTGAGAAAGAGGAGGAATCGAGCTATAACAGGAGTGGTAATAATTCTGTTAGCGAGGAGGAGGATAATAAGAAAGATAGATTGGATAACAAAGATATATATAAGTGAGACTTTTTTTTAATATTTTCGGCTTATAATTAATTTATCTAATAAATGTAATTACAAATGTTGAAGGCAATATACCTAAGGGTAAAGTCGATCTTCGATATGCTTATTGGATATATCTGTTCTATTATCTTTCGAGGTAGAATTTGGAGAAAGAATATAATCCCTTGATTGATTATATTGATAATTATGAAAAGAAGTTTGCTAACAAGTTAATTGTAGTGGTATATCATTTTTGTGATTTCGAAAATGATAACAAAATAGTTAAGAAAGATATCCTAAAGGCCTTATATCAAAATCAACCTGGTCGCAAATTCGATATATCTTGTTATAGAAGTATTGGCTTTGTTGATATTAATAAATAGGGATTTCTAAATAAAAGATTATCAAAAAAGATAATATCACAATGGGAACAATATATTCGGGAGGACGGCTGGGTTTGTGCTAACTGTATATACAATTGTGTTTCCAGCAAGGGAAATAGCGTTTGCTATCAACTTCCTAAACAATTGTTTGGTTAATCTCGCTGTCTACTTTGTCTAACTAGCAAGTATAAATATAAGCGCTTGTTTGACAAGAATATATACAAGATGTTTCTCCAATATTAATCAGTTGTTATTAAATATAACAATATAACAAAGATAAATTATAATTTTGCTAGTTTTTAGTAAAATTAATTCTTAAGATAGCTTGATATATGGGAGGAGCTAAAGAATTGTGTTTCGAAAGAAATATTTCCTCTTATTCTTATTTGAGAAGTCACGGAGCATTGTATAACGGAGGTTGTAGTGTGGGGAAACGAATTGGAGTAATAATATCAGCTCGTTTTAATTCAGATAGAAACAGAGCTTTCAGCAATTCGCAAGTGGTTGGATGCAACTAAGTATAGGCTTGGCCTTATTGTTGTATGTATTGCAATCAATAGTCATCTTATCTTTCGGCTTGTAGTTATTCTATATGTGCTTGTTATTACTATTGACTAGGGATTCGGTTAATATTTTGGTTTAAATTATCCAACCTTTGCTATCGTATCTCGCCCGACTATAATTATTGATGCCTGTAAGGGCTTTTTTTCTGGTTTAGTTTAAGTCTATTAGATAGGGGAAAAAGACTTTTTTTGTTGATATTTTATCTTTATTCAATTGCTTTTAGCTTTTTGTGTGATTAGGATTTTCTTTATTACAATAATAAATTAAAGAAATTCTTTTTGTCTTTTTTATTTATATATTAATTGTTATCTATAAAATCGTAATCATCCTTTCCACTTTTATAAAACAAATCCATTTCGGTAAATATACAGGAAATCCTAACAGAATGGGATTTTGTAAATAGAAGTTATAGAGATAATATAGAATAGTTTTTAAATCAGAGATAGAGTACCAAGTAAGATTGTTATTGGCGTTTAGCCACAATACTTTGTACTTAAGCTGTCGGCATACTTTCTTTATAGTTAGAATACACTCCACTTCCCATTTGATATTATTGGTGATATTTATTAGAGACGGTAGTTCAAGGATTTGTTTGGGAAGTAGATCGTTTGCTGCTTTGTAGAGCTTATTAAATGGAAATACAGGGTAGATTTTTATAGTAAGCAATAAGTTCAATCGGAAGGAATCTTTGATTTGATTAATAATCTTGAATTTATTTTGAATAAAGTAATCTAGTTTTTTAAATGGTTATTGTATTGGAAAGTCCCTTATATTGAGCTATACATAATCTCCTATATTAAAATCGATTGAGTAGTAATATAAATTGGTTAATCGAAATATCTTTTCTTATATATACAAGATATTTTCTTTTGCTTGATCAAGTGCTAGTTTATTGTATTTAGTATACTCTCTAGTATTGATTATATTCAAATTGTTGATAGGCATAATGGAATCGAGTTTCCAATCCTAGGAATTGCAGGGTAGGTAGTTATATAAGGTCTTATATAAAATTTGATTATCTAGTAATTTATAGGGAAGTGTGAATTGAATGTAATCTATTATTAGTAGGAATTCAGACTAATTATTTTGATAATAGTTTATAAAGAGTTATAAGTATTATTAGAAATATTAATTATAAATCTCAATTTGACCATCAGTTTGTAAATAGTAAGTGATAAATAACTTGATTTGTATTCCTAAGATATTATTGAATTCTTATTAGAATTTGGATATGAATTGAGAATCACAATTAGAGATTATAATCTCCAAAACACCGTAATATTTGTATATATAATATAAATATAAGCAGGCCTGATCTCTCGAATCGATTGATTTATAATAGAATATCGAAATAGCTTGTTTGGTTAATTGATCAATAATAACGAATACGTTGTTGTAATTGTATTTATCCTTATTGAAACTACAATAATCCATAATAACATATTGCTATGCTTGTATAGAGATCAAGAATGAATAAAGGAAACTAAGAATGTAATCTCTTAATATAGAGCTACACTTACATTTGTAGTAATTCTGTATATATTGATTAATTGTATTATTTATA